AAAATGTTTGCAGATAATCAGTGCTATTTATATTGCTGAATAGTCGGTTTTACCTCAAAACAAAGATTATCTCCAAATCAAACCAAACTATACAGTGCAGTGTCAGTGCAGTGCATTGCATTGTGACTTGTTACTTGTTACCCTTGTAGACGTCCTCTTGCGTCCATATCAGTATCATTTTCTCCGAATGGGATACAAGTGAAATGGATAATTTCTCTCCAATAATAACACTACAGCCGGTGCTTGTAGGATTGAGACAGCAGTGCTGCAAATTCTGGTGCAAATTACACTTGCAAAACTGCTTAATGATTATCGATCTAACAGACATAAACATATAAACAACCTTTACGGCCACTCCCGCCCGTCTCAGATCACTTGCGACATGTTCATTTCAAAGTTGTATTTAGTAAACTGAAAGCATGTTCCGAGGAATCTTTCATGGACGATAGTTCCGACACTGGACAACGCAGACTCGAACTTCTTGCAAGATGCTGGAAAGTTGACTTTGGCATTTCACCAATGAATACTTCGGTGATATCCATCTAACTCGTTACTCTTTGGGTAATTTGCGAACCTGCTCATTATCGAAAGCTTCATTTTATTGGATTAGGGACAGAATTATCATACATTTGGAGCGAGTGGGCGATGATCAATCCCGGGATCAATGAATACAATTTTCTATCAGTGGGTCAAACGACTTTAATAAATAAGAGTAGTTTACAAGTGAGATAAGGTGCCACAACCCTGTCAAAATAGATTCTCCAAATCTTTCACGTGTCTTTGGCGAACTTGTTGCAATTCAATTTGGCCAATTAGTAAACAGTTTACGACGAATTGCTTCTGTAAAAATATATCTGGATGATGTTACATTAATATTTGAAGCTAATACATTATCATTGCGACAATTAGAATTATCCTAACAATCCATAAAATTGTAGATAAATACTATAAACACTATTAATTTCATTTGCGCACAATGATTATTCCCATGATCCCAAACTCATGATCATCAAACTCAAATTTATGTCAACAAAAGGGGACTCAGTTAAAATGAAACCGTGTGTAACTGTATGTATTGCTCAATGTTAGTGCAATATAAGACAAGAGTTGGCAGAGCCATCTCGATGCTGGGAAAATAAGCGTATTTAAAGGTGTGTTTTTGAGCAATGGATTGGCGAACAGGCAGAAAAGCAATTTCAAAAACTTTGACATTGTTTTAATGAAAACTTGAAGTATACACGAAGGTACGTATTATTATTTATTTATTTTCGAAACTCAATTTTTAACTGAAGGAATTAAACTAAATTAAATAATCATGTTAGAAATGACTGCTGTTTAACTCCGGACGTTTAATTGCACTTAGCGTATGTTACTATGACAATCAACCAATTCGAGAAAAACAGTCGACAATGACTAAATGCATGGACACAGCCAAATCGAAGGAAGCTAATACAGTTGATTTATAACAGACGAAGTAAATGGAAATCACTTTTCAGTCCTCGTTGAGACACAAACGTAATTTAATACACACTACTACAGTTCGACTAAAGTTTACAAACACCACGGCCAGTCACACAAAGTCCCCCAAATTCAAAAGGAATTTTTAAATGCACCGGGGAACACGAGATGAACAATTGTGCATACTTAGATGACGACTCCACGCTATACGCAGCGTGAAAATGGCAATTTAAACTTTGCTTGTAGATTTTCCCAGGCAGATTTACATAATAATACAGTTCGATATCACGGCCAGTCACATAAAAGCCATCAAAAGGGAACTGCAAGTCGTATAATGCCAAAACAGTACCATGATTTCACAACATTCGAAATACGTTCGCTTTTATCGACGTGCACTGTACAACAGTTTAATGTCTTCCCATTCGCAAGAACACAAAACCTAAACTATCAGAAATTCGTAACACATAATTCGAGTGATGGAATAACAAAATTACTCATCATTTGTAAATTCAATCCATCGAAAAAGTATAAAAAATATTTTTATAAACAATTTTTATTATATAAATACACTTTCATGAACATAAATCTAATTTGAATACATTCTCACTACAAATTACACAATACGTATTTTCTAGTGGAGTTTCTTCACATCACAAATCATGCACACGTGTGAGTACTTCGGTGACACATTTTATAGCTACGCCCAGAATAGTCCATCATTTATTGCGCAACTGTGACCACACGACATCATTCTGTTAACATCCACACATTTTCATAAAATCTCCACGCACTTTTTGATCTTCCATAAGTAAAATATACTACAATTTACTCCAGAAAAACAATTTTCTTGGTACATTCCTACATTCTTGAATACTAATGAGGGATTCACACACATTCCAAGCTGAACAATTTTCTTGGACTAACAACAAAGCTGGTCAATCCTTTCCCAGCAACAATTAGAATTTTTGTTACTTTAAGTATTTAATACAAACCATCATTGCATTTAAATACAGTGGTTAATTATAGGGTGATATAATGCAAGGTACCTGTAATTACCCACAATGTTATGTTATTTGTACTACAGAATATTTATTATGTGCACATTGACAGGCGTTACAATTACTTATTTTACTGATGTAAAATAAATTCGATATTAATGTTTCTAAATGTTTGTCTCATCTTCTGTTTTCGCAATAGACGAATACGTTGTTAGAACAGTAGCGATTTATGTTAACAACACACCGCATATTGACGAGAAATCACCAATTAGCTTGGTTTTTTTTTCGACATTTAGGATGTTACACTGCATTATTTTTAGCACTAATATCAATTATCTTTCTCAATAATGTGAATAACTTACTTTTTGTAACACACTTTTTGAAAAATATTAAAAATATAATTATAGCAGTGGAAATAAAACTAGGGTTGATTTCTTTCTTTATTATTTGTGTAAATCAAATATGTGCATAAAACAATGCGAATAATATCCTATAAATTTTATACCGAATTCACCAGATTTGACAAAATGAAGCAGTTCCAGCTCGTATTCAATCCATGATTAGACCAAACCATGTGTAATAAGATTCTCAATATGTAATGACATTATGTACATAGAAGATACAACTCTAATGTCAGATCAACCGAACAAATGTTTTTTTTTGTTTAAAAAAAACAAATATGGCGACAACAGTTACATTCCTGCTAACTGTGTATCTATAATATTGGGAGTACATATGTCAAGGATGCTAGAATGTCTATGTCTGTTTCAATCTTCAACCCAGTATTACCAAGTATATTACGTTTTACCCTTTTTAATCAATCAAACCACGAGACAAATTGTAACAGTTCAATAAAACGAACAAGTATTATTAATTTTTAATGTTGTTTGTCATCGGGAATTTGTTCACTGAAACCGTCCCCTAAATTGTAAAGTTATGTTTACTCAGTAGATTCCTATAATAATTAATCCCGTAATTGCATGACATTTTGCGCACACGAAGAAGGGGCATGAATGGAAGAAAAGAAATTGTCTATATCTAATATATATATATACACGAAGTATTAAATGCATTTGATATGTCAGAAACGCAGTAAATATGTACATCCCTGCCAAAGAAACGTGAACTTCTTTTTAATGCAAATTGTATTTTTTTTATTGTATACTGTGGGTGTAATTGCATTAAATTAAATGTTGATTGAACAACAAAACTATTCTATATTAGCTAAAATCTAGTTTAGGATTCGAACCTAAACTTTAGCCAACTAAGAACAAAATACATCTTCTCGTAAATTGGACCTTGGCAAAGTTACAAAGTCTGGTGAATGTTATCAATAATATAACATATTTTTGTTCACAATAGAGTGCAACTATTATAGATTTGTCATGAGCATTAGACACAAGACGTTGCAATTAAAATAGATTGTTAGTAATCAATAATCCTAATATGGATTGTAGTTTTATTCTATTAATAGTGTTCTGGGTTACTTATACGTCACGCCTATACTGATGACCAAGGGCGGTAGGCAAAGATGTCTGGGTTAATACTATACCAGAAATAATACATGAATTTTTTTCCTTCTTGGCTAAAATGAGTGTCATTCTTGAAATGAAAAACAGCACTACGAGCATTGCTGTGGTGACATGTTTTGACTCGAACTCGTACACATATTGGTTTAGCATCTTGCACAGACTCCGTGTTTTGAAATACGTGTGTCATATCTCGATTCTAGGTCCGTTGCCCCCCCCCTCCCCGGCCTTTTGCCACCGGCCCATTGCTCCTCGGCCTGTTGACCCCGGTTCATTTGCCCCCTGTATTTTGCCCCCCCCCCGTTTTAAGATAAAATTAAATAACTATTTTGAAATACTAAAATATTATTGGAAGTTTAAATAACGTACGTACTAACTCTGAGTCTGAGTGTCGATCCGAAAATTCAGAGCTTTATTCTGAGTGTGAACTGAGCATTTTTCGTGAAACAGATGTGAGTATAGTGTTTGTACAAGCTGCAGAGGTTTATATTTATTACTAAACATGAAATATCTCAAATTACCAAGGATTGGAAATGTTTCTATGCGCTCTAAAAACCAGATAAAATAGACCATTTTGAAATATTCTAATACAGCCAGTCCTCGTATTATATTTTCCACTCGTAAAATCCTACCTACAAGATTCTGTGTCTACCGCACAAAAAAGTACGACTATTTATGTATTCATGTGTCGGTGTGATACCAGATACGTAGGTAGATAGAATTAAACAACGTGTTCAATCAGCAATTCAACAAATATACAACGCTACCAAAGAATAGCCAGCGCGTATTTGTAAAATTACTAAAACCAACAAAACAATGTGACTCGGCAATCGAGTTACATTTATTTAATAATCAAAATTGCGCAAAGACTACATTGACAATTGTTTTCGAATAATTGGCATTAATCGTTCGTTCCAAGTTTCATTTAGGCACTTTAGAAGTGGTATACATAAAAACAAAAAAGCCCATGCTCCGTGTAGACAAAAGGAATGTGTTTAATATTCACTACGGCTAGTGCGTTGTTACCAAACAAACGGGAAGCCACGTATACAACACTTTTTCGCCAGATTTTCGAAAGACAGCAACTGAATCCCACGTCCATCATGAGTGACTTTGAATCAGCAGCAATTAATGCTGCCGGCACTGTATTCCCTAATGCAACAAGGAAGGAGTGCTTTTACAATCTGTCACAGTGCGTTTACAGAAGAGTACAGGTTGAAGGACTACAGCAACGATACCAAGAAGACAATGACTTTGGATAAGAAGTACGCATGCTTCGAGCACTGGCACTCGTACCAGAATAAGTGATTGACACATTTGAGACTTTGCAACAAGAATTATCCGACGAAGCTATTATTATAGGAGACTATTTTGAAGACACATTTATTGGATGCGAACGTGGTTGACGCCACAACCGTCATCGACAGCAACCAAGATTCCCTATATAACTGTCATGAATTTGTTTTCGCGTATCTGTTAACCGACTTAATTAGTTGATTATTAGCGAATTGCTGTGTTATGTCCGTCATCGTTTAGGTCTATTTGAAGTTTTGGACGGAACTTGGCTCAGTGATTTGGAACTAATTACCAGATAATCGTCGCCATTCTGACAGTTTATATCCATAGTTATTAATGTAGTGAACGATTAATCAAAAGATATGACGTATTCAGTACTTAGTGTGATTGGCTTTATGATTGAAGTTTACGCCTTAGAGTCTTTTTACTGTTTTGTAATTGGTTAGAGTTTTGAAAATGAATAAAGAGAGTTTGAGTTGGTCTTGGCGAATACTCCACGACAGACGCAGTCGAGAGTCCAGTCTTGGGCGAGTCTTGGTTCAGCCTTGCGAGAGTCTTGGGGATTTTTTCCCCAGGGCGCTGTGTCTTATAGAGTGCTCGATTGACCGACTAAGACGAGAGTTGAAACGTATTTCGTTGTGTGTGCCTTATTTGACTGTAAAGTTAAAGTGACTTTCCCGATCCCGTACCTCAAGGGGACGAGATATAGAGACGAGACGAGTTTCCCCCCTGACAAGTGTGGAGAACCCCCGAGAGAAGATTTTACCCCCTGATATAACTGTGGAACATGCATGAGAGAGTTGAAGCGGACTTGCCCAGTACCAATAATCATATCGAGGGTTGGCATCGAAGATTTCAAACCAATGTCGACGCTCACCATCCAACAATATGGAGATTTCTTGATGTACTACGTCGCGAACAAAGCTTTAATGGGGTGATTATTAACCAAATGGTTTCTGGCCAGCACCACCACCACAACGAAGAGCATACCATGTCGGTACAGACATACGATGAAAGACATATTTTGGACTACCTACGCGGTATTACACACAATATTATTAGTGTCTGATTTTAGGAAATGGAAATTTTTGAAAAACTAGTATGAATAAAATATGATAATAATTGAGTTTTACCTGTGAGAATTGCGCTTTTTCATAAAGTGAAGCTCAATGAAGAAAAAAAGTATCACAAAAAACACACTTGTCTTTATCCACAAATAAATGCTTTTTAAATTTCAAAAAACGGAGGGCAAATTACCAGGGGACAACGGGCCGGGGCCAAGGAGCCTGCTTCCCATATCTCGAGCCGACCAATAGGTGTTCGCCATATAGAACACGTGACATACAATTTTCCATCCAATGCTCGAACCATTGTTCATATGTACTATGCTTTCTTCGCATTATAGTGAACGTTTGCCATTTATAAAACAAGGTACACACAGTGTTAAATTTTCCAAAAACATAATTCAATAATCTGAGCTCAATAATGAATGTTCACTGTGTAATCCAGAAACTTTAATAATCGCTGTTGTGCTGTCAATCATGACGCATCGCTGTCACTAGATGCGTAGCTGCCGTTCTGTGCATATTTAAACCGAGTTCGATAACGGGCGAAATAATCTTACCAGCAATGAAAAAAAAACATATACCGTCGCAATACTGCACCCAACTCCCCGAGTGACTGTGATTTGAACTATATTTGTACCGCCGATGTCAGGGTGCGATAACTAAAAAAATAGGATCGATCAAGCAAAAGTTTTCAGTATGTATATGAAAAATGTGGTTTATTTCTGTATTCGTAAAGATTTTTAAAAACCATCACATCAAAATTACGTACCATTTACACTAAAATAATGACAATGTTGTTATTTGGCACTTAACCGTCAACTACGAACACCATAAATAATGTTTGCGAACGAGAAGTCTGGTACGCGGTGTGTCCGAAAATGAAATGCGCTGTATCATACATACTCCGTCTATTTTATAGTACTTTAGCGGAATTTCTCATTTATAGCGAAACACCAAAGAACACGCAATCGTGAAATGGAAGCGCGCGCAATCCATCGGTGGCGGCGCTGTTAAATATTTGTTTACAAATCTCATGTACTGTGTGCTATTGTTAACTTACGGCTTTCTCAATTTATCTACAACGTGTTAAATCGGCAATGGAATTTAATATAGACATAATGGCACCGTATCTAGTTTCTGTGTATATTTAATACGAATAAAATTGTTTAAATCTTTCAAGGCAAAATGAATCACTGATCCAAAACTTTTGCCTAACGCTCTTGATCAGACAGGGTAGAAATGTTGCTTTTTACCACTCAAACCAACACGTTAACATCAAGCTGATCAGTACGGTGGTCACTGCATCGGTTGCTATGTTTACTCCTGCTGTAATGAAAAAAAAAACAAGATTGTTAAAAACCACAAATTGTTTCACATAACAAATTGTGTGCACGTAAATATCACAGCATATAAATGGATCGTGACTTACCATTATCGTAGTCGTTTTCATCGTCATTATCATCGTCATTATCATCGTCATCGTCATTATCATCGTCATCGTCATCTTCATCTTCACTGTCACAGTTACGGTCAGGCTTATCAGTATCAGGACCAACGACTGGACAGTATCCAGTATTAACTATTTCGTCCTGGTAGTTCGCACAGTTGTTGATACCATTACAAGTGAGTTCATTGATGATACAATAGTTATTACCACAATCAAACATTCCATGGTTGGTGCATTCTGAATTACCAACTGAATAAATAAACATAATGCAAATACCAAGACTAATAATGATAACATGTGAAATTAGGTGAATACAATGATTTAGATGGTTTATAACTATTCCAAATTGCTGCACTGCGGCTTCCGAGAAGTTTTCCATCAATGAGCCAGTACAGTAAATTATCAAAGAATCGTTCAGAGAGTGGACAAAGTATGAAAATTGTCCTAGTAGCGCATTTGCTAAATAAATGGACAAAACAAAACGAAAGAAATGATACACGACATATGATTGGTCCGACACTGTATTTTTCGTTATTTTCGACCTCTTTCGTTCACATTCTTCGTCATAATTGGCTAAACGACAGCGACGAAAGATTTGTCTATTCAATTTTGTGATTGCTGCATAAAATGTACATACGATTGTCGCTCCCAAGCTTTACTTATATATAGAAAATAGTAAGTCAGCTACTACATCAGCGTTGTTATGTTCTGTCATATAAAAGCAGGACCCACGTGATCAGAACAAAAGTATGACCGACATTTTGGATTACACAATGCCATTAATGCGTAAGTGATGTAATATATTTGCTCTCATGACACCTAGAAACATAATTTTAGGCATTATTCCTGTTTTTGAATAAATCCAATATTATATTATTTTCAATATATTTACTCAAGAGTAAGGGAAATGATCAAAAGCTTTGGGGTGTTCCGATGAGATCCGCGCTATATGTAAATTTATGGAAGAATATTCATGAGTTGTAGGTTTAGTACGGTGTATGGTTTTCGCAAGCATTCTAGACTGATTGAGAGACCATTGTTTCACTCCAAAATAACATAATTTGCGATAAACTTAGGACAACTTAATGTTAATGAAACAATTTAATGTTTGTACAGTTTTAGGACATTGTAGCAAAGTTTCTGCATGACCTATTCCTTGGCGTTTCGTAAATAAAGTTCTAGTTTTTTCATCAAAGCATCGATTTCACAACTATTACTGGTCGTAACATTTGCTCTGTTACGTATCTTTGTTGAAAAAAAACATCGGAACACTTGCCATATAATATTCCACAATAATAAAACTATAGTGGAACGCACTAAAATAGTATTTAAAAAAAACTCCCGACAAAACGGAACCACGCATACCTGTAAAATGTAGGTCAGATGTTCAAATACGTGTCAGTAACTTTTCCGAGTCACGTGATACTAATACTCCATGAACGCATTTTCGTAGATTTCACAAACGTACGTAAATATTTTATGTAGCATGTTGCTTTCTGTTGGCGTATACAATTGCACTGCTTTGAATAAAAACAATTGTTTCCTAATCAAAACGAAACAGTGAATCGTACTTTGACAACAAAACGGACCTATGCCACCCTGTTAAACAGGGAGCCTCGTCACCTGCGCAGGCGCGGGAATTGAGTCCCAAGCGACGATAACAACACACGCTAAAACGCAAAGGCTCATGGATAGACGCTTGTTTGTAAACAATGACACGCTATGGCCATCTGACGCATGCGCAAGTGACGACTCCCCCGCTTTAAATCTAGGATAGAAGTTCAAACTGCGTGAACAAATTACAGTCGCAAGACGCATTCGTTGAAAATCTCCAACAAGACATGAGTGATTCTTACCAATTTCCGACCTAACCTACTGTACTATATTATCCATGCTGATTCGACAAAAAAATACTTACTTTTAACTGCGGTGAAGGTTAACGAAAATCCTCTGTTAGTGAAGGTTTCATCAGTAACCATTCGTACCAGTACTTTGTCCGATGTTAACTCATAGTAGTAACCCATGACTGCATCACTTGTACAGTCCCTCATAAACAAGTCTGAATAATAATTGTCACCATCATAAATCTCAATATAGTCAACACAGCTTGTATCATCAAAGTATTCCAAATCTATGTAGTCATACTAATAAAAATAAACATCCGTATAAATGACTATGTGCAACTTTACTGGAAGTAAACTGTTGTGGAATATATTCGGGGCACTTGTTCAATAATTACTCGAACAGACATATATTTCTCTTTCTTCCGTGCAGGGCCGCCAAGCGGTGACACCACGCCGATCGATAAAATAATTCAGCAGTCACATCGGCTCTGTTTATAAAAACCAACTACCTTTTTCAGTTGTTGGTTGTTAGTACCCTGACCATCAATGGTATCGACAGAGCCCTATTGTGTATTTACTTTTATACCAGTTATACTATCTTGTTGAAA